ATATATATATATATATATATATATATATATATATATATATATATATATTCCGTTCCGTCCGGTAACGGGCGGTTCGTGTATCGGTCAGTTGACGGACTGGTATATACCGCCCGTACCGAGCGATATTATTCGAAATTGCATACCTTGCTCTAAACCTTGATTAGGAATTATGCATAATTAATGGTTTTCGTTCCCTTAAAAGAGTTACAGAATATGGACTTTGCAATCAAATGTATGATTTCCGTAATAATATGTTCTAAGGTTTGTTGATTTGATTATTTTATAATGCCTTCAATTTGAAAAGTTCAAAATGAACTATTTTTTTGAAAATACAGGGCCTAGAGAACTTACAGGTGCTGTTGATTTGATAAACCACTACAAGCTATCAGGACATCATGATTTCTTTTGCAAAAGAAGTCTTCCTTTGTCAGTTGCGGACACACATTATCTTCACAATGTTGTCGGAGACACAGAAATTAGAAAGGGAGAAGGCATGGAGCTGGGTCAACTTTTTCAGGGTGCTCCATACTTGAGAGAGTCAACCGCTCAGATACAACAATTTGACTTGGAAATACTAGGGCAAGCATTTCAACTGCGAGATACAGCCCCTATTGACTTGCCAATGGTAAGAACTCTGTCATTTCAGTGGGAAGATGCATTCTTACTCTTATGTCCTACAAGGGTTCATTTTGTGATGTTCTGCAGTCAGACAAAGGAGTACCTACAATTCCTGGGAAATCAAAAGGAGATTCTAAGGACAAGGAGAGGAAGCACAGAAAGCACAAGGACAAAGATAGGGAGAAGGACAAGGAGCATAAGAAGCGCAAACATCGCCATAAAGATCGGAGTAAAGATAAAGATCGAGAGAAAAAGAAGGATAGAAGTGGACATCATGATTCTAGTGGTGATCATTCAAAGAAGCATCATGAGAAGGTTTTTTTTTTTGTGCTTAGTATGTTTTTGCAAGCTATTATTTTTATTTTGCTTGTCTTGTTACTCATGGATTTGCTTTTTAAATATTTATGTTGTAGAAGAGGAAACATGATGGTACTGGAGATTCCGTTGATAATCACAAGCACAAGAAAAGTAAGGTAGCCGGCATAATTAGACTTTTCTCTTTTTGCCATTTTAGTGTCTTTTTGTTTTTTCAGATTCATACATTTTCCAATTGATGTGTTCTGGTTTTCTCCCCTCTTTAAAAGCCATATTAATTTCTGAACTACTTCAGCATAAGAGTCCAAAGGTTGAAGAAGTGGGAGGGATTAAAGTTGCAAGCTGATACAAGTTAAAACACTTCTTGTCTTTCTTCATTGTCTTACTATCAAACTTGCTGATGGAGAAGATTAATTCGAAGATTTCTTATCTTGCACCAGAATTCTTTAAGGTATATCTGCTTCTTGTTGTCATGATAATGCAACGAGACTATTCCTTTCTGATCAGTAAATTCTCATATTTAGTTACGATGAACTCGTTTGGTTGGTGCCATGATTGTACATTATGTCCATCATCGGAAACCATAAATGGCTAGAGAATAAATTAGGGCTAGCAGCTTTGTTAGAATTTTCATCTTTCATTAGCATACCCAAAGAATTATGTGGTGTGATGCTGGAATCATTTATAAGTGGTTTTGCATTCCTGAATATGTCTGTATCTCTTGCCATTAAATCATATTATTCTTTTTCACTATATTTGAAGTTAAAAGTACAAACATAATTTTTTAACTGGCAATATGCATTCCTATTAGAGTGAATTAACTTTGTAAAAGTAATTTAATTTTGCTATTTCAGTTATCAGGTGGATAGACAAGTTCTTGTTTCAATCACCTCTCCTATGATTTTCTTCCCAATTTACTGCATCACTCAGCATGTATTTTGGAGTTGACAATTGTACTTGTGAACTCTGTGGTGGCTTGACTCTTTTATACCTTCATTTGAACCGAAGTCAAAAGTTACAATTAAGGTCATTTTGCTGAGAAACACATACATTCTATCAGACCTTTTATCCAAATCCTGAACAAAATAGCACCCAAAGATCCCAACCCTTGCCTTCAGGTACCTAATCACTTGTGTACTGATTGGGTTCCACATACTGATTTGTGTGCTTCTGTAACCTGAATTATTGAGGCATGTGATGTGATTCTTTCCAGATGTATATATTCAATGTCATAAATTGCTATGATTTATAAGTATCAACCATATGAATACATCAAAATCTCCATTGAACATTCCTGATTCAGATTCTATACATACGAAGTCAAAACAACAAAATCACTGAAATAATAAGTTGAGCTATTATACTATCAGGACTGGGGCGTCAATCCTGTCATCTCAAAATTATTACAAAGGTTCCAAATCGCAGAATTGTAGTAATTTACAACTTCTGAATGTCTAAAAATGTAAAGTTAAAAAATAAGTATTATATGCATTAAATTAAGGAAAAATAAGTAGTTTGGGTAGCAGATAATGTATTTTTTATTTGATCAATAGCATAGAAGTATTAAACCAAATTTAATTTTTGTATGTCTTGATCTAGCAAAATTGGATGAGGCCACCTATTTTGATCATTTATTAATCTAGTCTAGATCAAAATCTCATGCATTAACCTATTGTGTTCATTTGATGAATACAAAATATCCAAATCATATGCAATATTGTTTCTAAATGTTCTTAACATTGTAGATCTTATTAACATAACTGATCTGTGATTTAGAGACCCCATGATTTATTAAGTTGATAATACTGGTGGAACCTGAATTCTGTCACATTCTAGCTCAACTTAAACAATAAAGCAATTGATGAGTTAAGATGTTTCTGGTTCTCTGCCACAATTGGCTTTGATTCAACTGAACTTAAAGTTGACAACTTTGGAAGTATGAGCTAACTTTTTTAATATAGTAAGTGCCTTAAGCAAATGATGTATTGTATGTGCCACAATCAAATACAATGAACAAGTCAACAACCCATACCATGAAGAGACCAAAACCTGCACTTGTCTTGAAATGGGCCACGTTTGAATTACTTGTGGCTAGAACCAAACAGGATTTAAAATTTATAAATAACTTTGTGATTTTTTTGGTTCTTTTCCATCAAAGATCATGATGATTCTGTATCTATAAATATTACTAGATGTTTTACTAATTACATTAGAATTGATGGTTCCTAACTGGCATTACTTCAATTCGAGATTTAAGAGTGGTCTCCATGTGATTAATCTAGGGGAAACTAGATAATAACATAGCTGGAAGATGGCAGAAAAAAAAAAACCAAAGAGCAGTTTGTACCATAGAATGACATTTTGCTCCGATCTGTATGAAATGGGCGGTATGTATTGGTCCGGGCATCAATCAGTATGCGGACCGCCCTCGTTTGAAGCGGTCTGGTCCGCCCATATAAAAAGGAAACTGTCCTAACCCTAATTGCTTCTCATGCACGCTGTACCTTTGCTTCTCATGCACGACACAACCTTTGCTTCTCATGTTGGCCACAACCTTTTCTTCTCAAGACAACCTCATCGAACACCATCTCCACACACTGCCTTTGCCCTAATTGCTTCCCACAAATACGCCTCTTCCTCCTTCCTCTTCTTTCTCTTACTCCACAATATCCTCTTCCTCAATTGACCCACGTCTGACAGGTATGCCTCTTCTCCTCTTCCTATTCCTTCTGCTTCTTCCTCCTCTTCCTCCACCATCTCGTTTTCTGCCTTCTTCCTTTCTCATTCCTCCTTCCCCTCTCCTTCCTCTCCTTCCTCTTCTCCTTTTTCTTCCCCTCTGAAATATCAGTATGTACAGGTACAGTGATACTAACCCATATGTACCGGTTCGACCAGATCACAAATCACCGAAATGGGTTTGGTACCCCAAATGGTGATCATTGGTTTGTACACAATGTTTGTGGTTCACATGCTCTTGATATATATAGTATTCTCATATACGAACCCTAACAAGGTGAAAAGGTACAAGAGACTAAATTGTCCTCTTGAATAATTTCTACTCCATCTATGATGCTGCTACTCAATGCCCCTTGTGCTGTGTTATTGTCACCAAAATTTTCTGGGAATCTTGGAAGAGGCATGCAAGTCCCTTGGAGGAGTCAAGAACCCATTAACTCTTTAATGAGGGTCAAACCTGGAAGCTCTGGCCATTTGAGCTTTTGAGCACTCTTTAAATAAGGTAAGGACAAGGCAGCCTTGTTACATCTCCAGGATGTGCTGATAGTGTTGGGGACACAATTGCATGGGATGTGCCTTTGTGTTATATGAAAAAGTAGGGTCATGTTGTCTACTTAATAACAACTGCTTGCCACTCAAATCTACATTGTCCACAAGGTGATGCATTGATGTACACAATTGCATGGGATGTGCTTTCGTGCTATATGAAGTTGCAGGGTCATGTTGTCTACTTCATAACAACTTGTCCCTCAAATCTACCTTGTCCACAAGGTGATGCATTAATGTTATCTTTTGCAGCTGTGATAATTGTCAAGCAGGTGGAGGTAGTCTTCCGCACCATTGCAGCAGCGAAGATATCTTCAGCTTTTAGCTTGACTTGTCTTCCAATTGTAATTAAACTTCATTATGATTTGGAAGTTAAAGATGCTTATGACATGCTTAGAATGATATCAGCATCCTTTCATGTGATCCTAAAGAGGTCCTCATGGAGTTACGGAGACCTCTCTTCATATAGGAGTATGGCTGTATAGATTGACCATTCGTGGACTCCCAACGTTGGCAAGAGACTTATGCACTAGGCTGCCCTTTTTTGTATTGATATCTCCACTGAACTATTCACTCTGAATTCGTAATAGAATGTGCTTTCTTCATTTCTAACATTCAATTTGTCATCCATTTTCTACCAAGAAGCTGAAGGGTACAAACCGCTTCACGTTGAGCTACAATTTTTGAAGTACTTCATGGCTGTTGATGTTGTGGGTTAAACCGGTTTTGACAACTGATGTGGTAGGCCAAGATAGTTTTAATTTTTGGCCCAGGATGTGGAAACGGGAAGTGCATGGTAGGTGTGGGAGATGCGATTGCATGGGATATGCATCGAGTGACTAATGCATTCAGTATTGCTCAGCCAATTCCATACAACTGCATGCCTACCATGTCTACAAGGTGGTGTTCATGTTGTCATTCATAGCTGCAATCATTGTCAAGCAAGTGGTGGTGTCTTTCTGATTGTTGGATTAGCCCTGGTGTCTTTATCTTTGAACTAAACTTGCATCCTTGTGTATAAAATTCCATTTTTTTGTAAGTGCAAGATGGCATATCTAAACTGATCAACAAGCCTTGACAAGCTTCAAATGATATTAATGCCTTCTAGTGGGATGAAAAAGATATTGAACTGTTTAGGTCTTCAATGTGACCTGCTTTCTTCGTCTTTGACATTCAATTTATTTCCATCTTATATTAGGACACTGAAGTAGTCCCACCTTGAACTTCTATTTTTGAAGTAATTCAGGGCTGAAGTTGTGGGTTGAACCAGTGTCAACTATGGCACTGGTGAGACAACCAATTGAAGAAGTTGAGAACTTTATGGCATTGAAAGTTAGGGCTTCTCAAGTTTAGGCATGTAGGAAAGCTTCAATATATTTTCTTGATCAGTGTGTTGGTTCTAAGCTGATAATTCCTCCTCCATGTGGCTCTTTGTCATCTTTATCAGGCGAGATTATTGAATCATTGGGCTCGCACTTGTGCCCCATTATCCACTTTCATTGTGGGGAAAAAGATTAGGGTGTCTCATCTGTCTGCAGCTTAGCTTGTCTATAATCAGTGCATTAGTAATCATCGACTTTTAGGCAAAAGACAACCAATTTTGCTTACCAAATATGGTAACTGCTTTTAATTCTGGCTCGAGACTTCCAGCAAAAGAGATTGCGAGACTAAATTCATCTGGAGATATAAAATTGGCTTCATCTTAGACGTCTGAAAAAGGTCCTTAAAATGATAGATGTTTTTCTGCTACTCTAGCTTTGTTATAAGCATCAAGATGTATAGTTGGTTTGACTTAGTGCACAATCTATCTTTGAGATCAATGAATTGTTCAGTAAAATTTCTGATAGTACTCAACATTTTGCTAGTTCTTATCTTTTACTTCGGTTCTCATCTGAATCAAATGATGCAACTCAACATTCTAAAATTATCATATGAGATAGTCTGATTATGACAATCAAGGCTTTAGAAATTTATTCCAATGCTGGCATGGTGAAAGTATCCACTTAAGGTATTAAAAGCTACATCCTTCAAGTGAATGGTGACAAGTAGAATCTTTTAATCTTCAGGAGTATCCATGCAGCTAAAGATATGCTCAACTAAGAAATCAGCTCACGTTTAGTAAATTTGTAAAAATCAAATTTTGTTGTACGAGGGTTAGGCTCAATTTTTGTGTGTAGTAGTTGCTCGACAGTCTCTTTGGGTGACCAAGAATCATGTTGTTGATGAGGAAATGGTGCAGGGTTTCACTGTTGTTGTTGCTGAGGTGCACCACTTACCCGTCTTGCAACAAGAGGATTTTGCCACTGCTCCTACTCTCTGTAGGTCATAATATGTGATTTATCAATATGATATATGTTTGGCTGTTGTTGAGGTAAGAAACTACTTAATTAACAAAAGCAATTTTATCACTGTAGAATATGACCACAAGGTTTATAAGCACGACTGGCTTCCCCTTGAAACATACCTGTACATGTATGTTATGTATGCATACACACATAAAGTCGGACACAGTCATCTACAGCTGCTGCACTGTTGGTTTTATTATTAGGTCTGTAAAAGTAGTGTTGAAGTTATCCAATGGTTGCTATAACAATGTAAAGGTAAATCCACCTATGAGCGAGACCACCACAGGTGGATTTAATGAACTGGATTGAGAAACCACCTGATTGGTGAGGTTTGCTGGCCAAGGTGTTATTGTGGTCTCTTGTGGTGGTTTCTAGATCAGAGGTGTTTCAATTTCTTGACCTTACGCCACATTGGTTCTATTGACAACTAGCATTATTGTGGTTGTGGAATGGTGTGCCTTGATGGAACTTGAGGTCTGGTCTTCTTCCCAATCACATAAAGCCTAGAGTGCGGCATGGCTGTTCCATAACTGTTGGGATACATATCCCAACAGGTGTTACTCCAACCTGGGAAATAGTGGCCTCCAAACAATTAATCTAAGGGAGCTAAATGATGATGTTATTTAAAAATTGCAGAAAATTGACGGTAAATCTTTTGAGAGTAGGGGTGGTTATGGTGTTTGTTCTTTAGGCTCTCTTTATATATAATATTCTTGTATCTAAAACCTAATACTCCGAATTATCAGAGACTGTTTTGGACATTCAAACTAACTGCTACCATTGATTTTTAATGTTGGCCAATATCCCTTTTTCTGATATTGTTGTTGAAGTTTTACAAGCCTGGAATGGGCATGCGGTCCTGGAGAAGTTGGTAGTCCATGCAACTCCTTGCAGGGTTAAGACAACTCCTGATTTGGGAGGCTTGGCCAACTGGCCTTTCAAGCCCTCTTCAGATAAGGTAATGCAAATGCATCCTTGCTGTTGGCTCAGGATGCCGGAAACAGAGTTTGTGGGTAGCACAGTTAACACAAATATGTTGATGCCTGTTTTATGGGATGCAGATGCAGGTCTGACTGCCTACTCCTTAAGTGGTTAACTTTTCTGTCTGAGGCATAGAACTTTCTCTTCTTGGTTGATCTTGTGATTATTAAAAGACAAGTTTGAAGTTTTGAAGTTGGATGTAAAAGAAATTTTTGTATTAGTGCAATTATCTGTCATGATAAGTTATTTTGTTCCTCTGCAGTCATTTGTTTCTAAATGACAATTAATTTGTTAATTTGGACTACTGAATGGTTTTCTCTCAAGTAGATTGCTTGTTTCATCTATAGGTGATAAGTACTTCATATGCTATATAGAGTAACACTATTTGTCTTAAACAGCAGCAAAAGGGAGCATAGAAGGATTGATAACTAGAATAAAATAAAAAATGATAACTGATAATATAATCCACTAATTTTTTACATGTATTAGTGGATCATGTTCATCGACCTTAATATTTTTTGTTCTCACATATTTGTATTCTTACTTTCTTGGTTGTATATTTTTCTTTTAATTGTCTTCATATTTGTTTTTGCGATCTTGGTCAACATATTTTTCAGAGGTGCCTAGAAAAAGAATCATGTTTCTTAATCCAGTCCTGTCTGAACTAGAGTGAAACCATTGGATATTATCAAACCAGTTGTGGGATTATCTTGTTGTAAGAAAGCTAATTTTCTTCTTGTATACTTCATAAGAAATTCTATCTTCAGTGTCAAACATTAGAAATTTGTAACATTTGTTGATATTTCTCTAACTATTTATATTTATTCACTTCGAATTCATAGTGTGTGTTCTTCTAGTTGTATATCCAGTATCCATAGTTGACTTTTTCTGCTCTTTGTAACTCATTGAGAACAATCTTGACTTTTGTTGCTCTTCATAGCAAGGACCATCATGCTGGACCGACTGGTGGTATCGGTCCTTGGGCAGACTGATATGTATTGGTTGGTACCGGTATATCATGTGTTGGTATGCTAGTATGTTCTGGTTTTTGATAAAAGACCTGAAAATGACTGAAAATAGAAAAAATATTTTTTAGGATTTCTCTTAATCTATTGGTATATAAAGTTCATTTAGATAAGAATAATGTGTATCAATGCCATAAATGAATAGGTTATAAGAAGGAAATATTGAGTTTATCTTTTTGGATCCGTCGAGGAACAACTTTGTAGCATGGGAGGAAGTTGCTCATGTTTATCTTGAATCAGTCGATTAGGAACTTTAATCACAAGAGTGTGAGAAAGAGTGAGAATGAGAGTGAATAAAAGAGGGGAGAGGGAAGAGAATTTGAAGCCCTAAAAGTGGTATCGATCAAATTCCGATTGGTACCGACCCGTATTGATTGATACAAGACGAGTTTCAGCCGCATTGGCCTGATACATACCTTGTATCGATTGATAGGCCATATTTTAGGGTACTGCCTGAAACGAGCTGGTCTGTGTACCGATCAATCGGCGGATCGGTAGGTACCATCCATTTCATACCATTTCGGTCGGTACATCCAACCTTGCTTCATGGTGCATGTTCTTCTAGTTTTGACTTTTTTCAATTGTATTCATATAGGTGTTCAGATACTTTTTCTTAACATAGTGCCTAATATTCATATGTCATTATCTGCTTTAAACCAAGAAATTCAGTTTCGAGTATTGGACTCATACTGGTCCACTATCTATTGGATTGGTATTGGTCCTCTCCATGTTAGTGTACCTACACATGTTACATTGGCATATACTGTGGTACCATTGACTGGTGGGTTTTTTTTTTGAGAGAGAGGGAGGGAGGTGGGAGGATGGCAGAGAGGCTGTGGAAAAGTAACCAAGATGAGGTGCGCAACAGGTGGACAGACGATGGTGGTCAAATGATGCACTGAAGGGGAGAGAGAGGAGGCCGTAGAGAAGTAGTAGAGATGAGGTGTGCAAAATGAGACGGTAAATACAGGTTGGTATGGACTATTACCGGCAAATTTGAGTTCCTTGTTTTAAACAAATGGAGAAAAAAAATCATATCTATAGAAATTTAGTGGCTTCTACAGATCAATATTTTGTAAGGGTTCAAGTTATACAAATTCTTTGACTGACAAGCAATAGGAATTTAATAGCCCTGAAAATGCAGTGAAGATTGATTATCATCTCACCAATATGGTTTTGATATCTGTTGCGCACTCACAAATGTGAAAACCCATGCCTTCTGGAAAATAGAAATATGTGTAAATTCGAGACTCTGCTAGAGGGTTGTAATTAGAGTTTGTTTTTTTTTAAGTCTCACTTTTGGTTCCTTCTCAACCTAAATTTGCTTGAAATTGGGACTATAGTGTCTATTATCTTAGGTTTTTCGAAAACCGATTTTTGAGAACAAATGTTTATTTTTTGTCACTTCTGCTTTATGCACCTGGCTTTCTTAAGTTCCCAATTGATAATTTTTTAGTAAACTTGATGAGCAGTATGATATACATCAATGCTACCAGAGAACTGTGTCATGCCTGTGTGTAACATGTTGGGTGTTATTTTAGTATTTTCTGTCCGTTCCTGTCCTATTGTGTATAGTAAATGACATATTTGGAACATGTATAAAATAGGTATATGGACAATTATGGAGATGACGTCTTGTTGTTAATACGCTTGGCGCCTGCCTTATTTGTTGTAATGAAAGTGTTATTTTATAGAGATGACATGTGTCATTGTTTTATTGTTTTAATGTATTGAGTGAGAGCATAGCTAGTTCTATCAGATTTTGCATTAAATTAATTTGTATATTACATTAATTAAATTCATGTTGATGAAGTTGTGTAATCAATGGGTAACATGAGGATGCTCTGCTAGTTTTATCTAAATGGCAGGCCTTTTAAAGTTTCAGTTGCAGGAACAAAAAAAAAAAAGTCTAACCAAGGTGTAGTTCCCATCTAATGTATATTCTACTTGAACAATTGAGGCCTCGCCAAGCATAAATTGATCTGAAGCAAGTGGTAAAGAATTCATGACTAGGCTGTCTATTTTGGTGGAAAATATCAGGTAAAAGTGCCATCTAGCAAGTGGTAAAGAATTCATGACTAAGCAAGTGGTAAAGAATTCATCTAGCAGTTCTGTTTATATTGAATGATTGAAATTACCATCAAAGACTCTTTTCCCATTTCAAACATTGGTGTTGGGCAAGATCGAGTGTAGTCAGCTATATGGTGGAACCAATCTGTATCATATGTTTTTTTAAGAACTTTTTGTTCAGAATGGCACTACGTTATAGCATGGAGGTTTGCCTAATGGCTGATCGACCTGAGGCAGTGGATCGCCGCTCTATCTAGTATGGAGGTTTGCCTAATGGCTGATCAATGAAAAGTGATCTATAGACTGACCCAGATTGTTGTGATAAGCTTAGTAGCATTTGTTTATGAAAGAATCTAGGTTTTGAACAGGGTAAAAAGATTTCTTATATGGAATGACGGGATCATTCATCATCAGCCGTTGACTAGTAGAGCCGAGATTTAGAATCCATAACACAACTGTTACTTGAAACTGAGTTCACTGTGTGAATTAGCTGTTTTTGATTACCTGATTAAGTAAAAAACCTGCAACCATTACAACTTTGAAGCCAACCCCTATTCCAAATCCCTATGGTACACTTTAAGCGACCTGGAATCAAAAATTCATTTTATCTTTCTGCTAGTAATTAGCCCGGCTTCTCTTATGCCGAACTTGTTTATGCGAGTTTTTATAGTGCTGGGATTCTTATGGCAACTCTCTCTCTCTCTCTCTCTCTCTCTCTCTCACTCACTCACGGAGGCATCACAAGAGCCAGGCTACTGAGATAACGGAGGACCCGAGTATCTCTCAATTTTGCTCAAATCCCCATTAGGAAACCAATTCTACAGCCGCCATTAATGTTTCCTTCATGCTGATGGCTCATGCCTTGACAACTAGCCTACCTGAGTTGTATGTTTCTCTGGACGTTTGAGAATTAGCTTATTCATGAGTTGAATGGCAAACAGAATTGGGTTTTGAATGGTGTTTTCGTAAATGATCTACTTATCATGGTTTTCTTTTGCAGCAAATATTATAACCATACACCGAAGTCTACTTTCAATCATTGGATAGTTGTTAAATATTTTTTTTTTACAATATTACACTTTTGATGACTTATTTTTCTGAAAGGATTCTCCTATATTGTTTTATGTATTTTTAGATATAAAGATAACAAGACATCTAATTGTGCTTATATCATATTTTTTTTATCACAATCGAATCTCTTGGAGTTTCAAGAAACAATGCTCTATTACAAGATCTTCTACGAAGAGCGATTATTTTTACGACTAATAAACTTTGTTAGGTTCAATAATTATTATATGAACTATTTGTCACAATCTTTAACTCATCATTTGTATATTATGATAATATTGGGATAACATATTTATGTGTGAATCCTATATTTCACTTTCGAATGAAGCATATATTTATCGATTTTTTACTTTGTTTATGACAAAGTTCAAAATGATAAGCTATGTGTCTCTTATGTCTCATCTTTTGATTAACTTATAGATGCGCTTACCAAGCCTTTGTTTTGCCAATAATTTCTTCTAATTCGGTCTAAAATCGATCTCCGATGGGAGGATCATCTTGCATAAACATATTAAGAAAGATATTATTGAGAAAAATAAATTATGATAAGATTATTATGATCCTTTTAATATTTTAATACTATATTATCATAATTCTAAATCATAAAAATTAAGATAACAATTATCATGATTCTATTAGTAACGAGGATCATGATCTCAATGTGATCTCCTATGAAATAATTTAGATGAATATTTTATATTTATTATTAGTTATCATATTTATCATGTAAGTATCATATATTATAATTTTCTTTGTGTATATAAATTCATATTTACTATCAATAAAAATTCGGGCTCGTCATTTTGTTTCACAAACAAAACTTTAGCTTGACATTTTGATTTTTCAATCACTCTTTAATGAACTTAAACGTTAATACAATATAATTGGTTTTGTTAAATCTACTATAACAGTGATCGCCAATTTTGCCCGTTACAAACGAGAGAGGAGTTTAGGTTACTGCTAGGATTCAACTGAATGGGTCCAATGCTCTAATAAATTTGATAGAATCTAGATTTAATCTTATATATGATATGAATCATTTGAATCAAAATAGTCATTTAAATATATAGTTATAAGAGCTGAACCGAAAAAATGACTTGGTGAAGCCTTAGATTATTGGATCATTCGTTGAACCAATGGATCAATTGTTCGAACTGCATCTTTAATTAAAAGGATTTTAAGATAAAAATATTTTTTTTTAAAATATATTAATTTATAATTATATATAATAAATATAAAATATTAAAACTAATTAAAAATTTATATAGAAAAGGATAAAAAATAATAATATCAACCAACATTACAAACATAAATGTTTAACTATATAAAATAAATAACACATGGTAAAATCTTAGTAGTAATTACACTAATCTAATCCAAAATGAATTGTTCAATGATATAGAAGAAATAGTTTATCCAACATAATTAGCATAACTTAAATAGCATATAGACATGAATTTTTCTTGATAAGATGAACACTTTTTAGTTATCAAAATGTTATCAGGTAATTCTATGGAAGGAGTCAATTCCATATTATAATATAAATTTTTAAGCTCATTTTTGCTTGTTTCACTATTTGTTTCATCCTCGTTTTCATTTTGGTCCTTGCCGTTCTTCTTATACAGCAAGCTATAACTTGATTTCACTCATGTTCTTCTTCATCAACATTAAAATACAAGTCATTAAGATTGAGAGTATTATTTGTCACATTTAAGTAAGTCTAAACTTAATTTATTTCTCTTGTCAACCCTAATTTATGATTGGTGTAATATCCTATTAAATAAATAATAAAAAAATTAAGCTAAGAGTATTTAACTAATATTTAACTATATTATAAAATTGGATCGATTTTATGTAATCTGATCGGTTCATGTTGGTTTTATCTAAAAAGCCAATTAGATTAATCAATTTATTTTGATTTTTCAATAAGTAAATCAGACTAACTAATAGTCGAGCACGTGACTTGATCATCCCTACGATTAAACATCATTTGATTTCGTTTATCAATTCAAACCCATGTTGATTCCAGCAGATGTAGTCACATTTACATGGTGATAAGGACCGAGTGCTAAAATCTTTCATTACAATTCTACTATAATAATCTAATCTATTGGTTATAAGTTTCATTATAATCTAATCGATTTATAATATATCTTATCAATTAAATAGAGTCACATAATCTAACATTTTTTTGACTTAACCCATTAATTAATAAGATATTAAAAAAATTTAAAATAATTAAAATAAAATTTATTTAAAAATAATTTTACCTAGATTCTGAAAATTTTGAAAAACATTTTATAGATAGTCATGTATTTTAAAGACAAGCCAATAAATCCAATAAGCATAATAATACTACATTAAGTCAAACTACCAATACGAGTCATAGCGGTTATGTATCATTAATGTTATACTCCCTTATATATACCACAAACATTGTTAGTCTTTCATAATATAGTCCATAATGACCCTTGTAATTTGTCTTATCAAGACAATCATATTATTGCATTCAATTATAATATACATAATCATAAATATAAATAGGATAACAGAAACAAATAATTTTAGTTAAGTAAAAAAGAAGTAAATAATAGCATCCACCTAAATATCATTATATCTTTTATGGCTTGCTCACAAGCCTCATTCTAAAAATATGTTCCTTAAATATTTTAGATTATAAAACATTAGTAAATGAATCAACAATCGGGATGGTGATGCTCAGGTTCTCAATTAACATAGGTTGTTTTTAGAACATTTCTCTAACCAACAAGTACTTTATCTTAATATGTTTGAAACCAGTAATGTACTTGCCATTCTTAAAGAAGAAAATTGCTATATTATTATCACAAAATATTTTCAGTGGCCTAGCAATTGAGTCGACCACACTAAGTTCTGAAATGAAATTTTACAACCATAAAGCTTTATTTGTAGCATCAAAGTATGTCATAAATATAGCTTTCATTATTGATGATACAATAAGCGATTGCTTTATACTTTTTCAAGAAATTACCCCTCCAGCTAATATGAATATAAATCCTAAAGTGGACTTCCTACTGTCGAGACAATTTGTGAAATCAGCATATTAATATCCTATCACTTCAAGTTGATCTGATATCTTGTATGTGAGCATATAATCTTTTATCCCATGCAGATATCTCATTACTTTCTTTACAGTTTTCTAATATTTCATTCCTGGGTTACTCTGGTATCTACCTAGCATTGCAAGTACAAAACTAATATATAGTCTTGTACATGTTTAAGCATATAATAGACTTCTAACTACGTATGCATAAGAAATATCCTTCATTTATTTATTTTCTAAGTCATTTTTCGGACATTGGGTTTGATTGAATTTTTCACCTCTAATAATAAGTGTATCATTGGTTGCATATTAAATTTATCTAAGACTTGGTCAATATATCTTTTCTAAG